CGCTGTTAGTGTTGTTTTAGCCGAGCATCTTAACGGAGACCAACATCTTATCTACTATGTAAGTAAAAGTCTCTTGGATCCTGAGATCAGAGATGACAGGTAGGATGGCAAAGTGGTTCGTGAAGCTGAGCACATATGACATCAAATATGAACCAAGATCAACGATAAAATCACAAGCACTAGCAGACTTTGTGGCTGATTTCAGTGATGATCTACAACCTGAAGCAGAATTGGAAAGCAAGGAACTCCAAAAAGAAGAAAGCATGGGAAGATGGACACTCTTCACCGATGGGTCTTCCAACTTTAGAGAAACAAGCCTAGGGATCATACTAAAATCGCCACATGGGGACATCATACCCCATGCAGTCAGCTGTGACTTCGATGTAACCAACAACGAAGCTGAATACAAAGCAATGATCATGGGATTACAACTGGCCAAGTATCTTCAAATCAAGTATATTCAGGTATTCGTTGATTCTTTATTATTAACTAATCATTTTAATGGATCCTATGTAGTAAAGGGAGAAAGATTAGCACTATACCTCCAGATCCTTAAAAATTTGGCCTCCGTATTTGTATCTTTCAGCCTAAGCCAAGTTCCTAGAGAAGAAAATGTTAAAGCAGACGCACTAGCCAATCTAGGATCTTCCTTTAGGATCCTGCCAGAAGTCAGGATCCATATAACCTATATATTGATCCCAGCGATAGAAGATCCCTCCAACAAACCAGACAATCCCAATAACCATCATCAAACAACCAATATAGTAATAATTGAAAATCATGACCCTTAATCGCTTCCTCAAGATCCTAATCGTCAGGATCCCAACATCCTGGATCCTACGCAAATCTCGAAATTCTGGATCCAACCCATTGTAGAGTATCTCAAGAATTGTACAATTCCAAGAGAAGAGAAAAGTGACAGAGCATTCAAGATGAGGGTCTCACATTTTGTGATGATCCAAGGCAAACTGTACAGGAAATCCACGGCATGCCCATACCTTAGATGTTTATAAGATCACGAGGCTGCAGAAGTCCTAAAAGATTTACATGAATGGGACTATAACAATCACACCGGGGGCAGATCCTTATGCTCCAAGGTGTTAAGGACGGGATACTATTGGCCAACGATGAAAAAAGATGCCTTCTTATACGCACAAAAATGTGTTGCTTGCCAAAGGCATACCAACATCCTTCATCAAGCTGCAGAACCATTATACGCTATCATTTCCCCTTGGCCATTCATGAAATGGGGAATGAGCATAGTTGGCAGGTTACCAAAAGCTCCTGGTGGAAAGGTGTTCATGATGGTGATGACAAACTACTTCTCAAAATGGATAGAGGCCGAAGCCTTTGTTCAGATACGATACAAGGAAGTAGTCTCGTTTATCAAACGTAATATCTTAACTAGGTTTGGGATCCCTGCGGAGATCATATGCGATAATGGATCCCAATTCATAAGCAAGAGGACTAGAGACTTTTGCACGAGTTAAGGGATTAAAATGATAATGTTCACCCCTGTTCATCCTCAAGCTGCCATTGTAGACTCATCTACATGTATTATGTGTCTCTTATATCCCTCTCTTTTATCCCCCTCTCGATTATCTTATCTTATCTTATCTATCTATCTATCTATCTATCTATCTCTCTCTCTCTCTCTCTCTCTCTCTCTCTCTCTCTCTCTCTCTCTCTCCCCCCCCCCCCCTCATAATTAGGATTTTAGAAATTAGTGTTTATTAGATTTGTTTTTGAAATCTGATTTATATATCTTTTATGAGTTGTTTTATGAAATATGATGTGTATATGAAATATGATTCTCCTTATCAGTTAGGATTTTTAAGTTGTTTCCAAATTTGATTTGTTACTTTCTCATACTTTCTAAAATTTGATATTTATATGAAACTTTGTGAAATTTAATTTGTACATGAAACTTTATGAAATCTGATTTGTACATGAAACTTTATGAAATCTTGTTTGTTTATGAAATATGAGTTGTTTACAAAATCTTATTTGTATATATTTGGTGTTTGACTTCTGAAACATGTTTTGTTTGAAAATGTTATGCATTTTTATCTTAATGGGAGAGAAAAACTTGTCGAATGAGCATTTAAAATAGAGTAAATTACACGAATGGTCCCTATGGTTTGGGGTAATTTGCGCGCTTGGTCCCTAACTTATTTTTTTTAACTCGAAAAGTCCCTACTGTTTGTTTTGTTACGCGTTTGGTCCTTACTGTTTGTTTTTGTTATGCGTTTGGTCTCTGTCTTATCTAAAAATACTATTATTTAACTAGGGAAAAATTATGTAGTAGGTAAGGTAAGGTGAAGGGGTGGGGTTGGGGGTGTTTATTTAAATAAATTAAAAAATCAAGGGCAAAATAGTTTTTTTAGGTAAGACAGGGACCAAGTACGTAACAAAAACAAACAGTAGAGACCTTCCGAGTTAAAAAAAATAAGTTAGGGACCAAACACACAAATTACCCTAAACCATAGGGACCATTCGTGTAATTTACTCTTTAAAATACATATATATTAGCATCCTGCATTGAAGAAGTGAACAAGGTTTGTAGAAAAAGAAGTAGCTTGCCTAAGGATTCATGGATTAAGGCAGGGAATGTTCTTAGAGAATAGTTTGACATGGAGTTGAATGAAAAACAAATGAAAAATGCTTTTGATAATCTATAAGCCAAGTACATACTATGAGTGTATTTTAAGAAGCGAAATTTGAAACACGTATAATATTCAAACCAATCCATTTACCTTAACCATCGAAGAATGGGAAGAATATATGAAGATGCTTTATATAGAATTTTTTTAATGTTTATGTTCAATATGTCACATCAAAAGAACCATGTACGATGACGAGGAAAAGGTTCAACCACATGATAATGCAGCGGACTGGAAATATATGACTCATTTCGAAATCAAATTGTTGAATAATTAATGAAAAATATATAGAATGAATGCTTCCAAAATATTTTGTTACGAGACGGTTGTATGAATTAAATTTCAATATTGTAAAATTAAAATTAATGAAACAACCTTTTATGTTTAAAAAAATAGATTTTTGTATGTAGCCGATATACTTTAAAAAACAAATTTTTTTATAGACTGCAGATTTTTGTCTTGTAGAAATGCGGGAAAAAAATAGTCATTTTATTACTTCTAAAACGAACAAGAAAGTAGAAACAACACCGGAGTATCAAAATTTTCATCAAAACACTAGGGTGCATTTGGTTGTGGAAAATTTTTCAAGAAAAACGGAAATTTTGAAAACGCGTTTGGTTGGTTCAGTTTTCTAACATTTTATAAGAAAATGAAAATTTTCAGTTTTTCAAATTGTATGTAAGATAGAAAAGCGAGTTTTACAGTTTTCCAAAGTTTTCCAAATTTCTAAGATGGAAATGAAAACTCTACCGCTTTCAACCAAACGCGTTTTCTAAAATTTTCGTTGAAAACTGGAAATGAAAACTCAACTCTATTTTCTGAAAACATTTTCTTAGAAAATGAATACAATTTTCCATAACCAAACGCATCCAAAGGTGTGTTTGGTAGTGAAAAATTTTCCAGTTTTCTAAGAAAATTTTCCAAGAAAAACAGAAATTTTGAAAACACGTTTGGTTCGTTCAGTTTTCCAAAGTTTTATTAGAAAATGAAAATTTTTAGTTTTCCAAATTGTATGTAAATTAGAAAAGTGAGTTTTACAGTTTTTCAAATTTCTAAGATAGAAATGAAAACTCCACCGTTTTCAACCAAACGTGTTTTTTTAAATTTTCACAGAAAACTGAAAATGAAAACTCAATTCTATTTTCTAAAAACATTTTCTTAAAAAATAAAACAATTTTTCACAACCAAACTCACCCGAAAGTGTTGAATTAATATAAAGAAATTGTCAATTTCTGATGATTTTGTTATAAGATTAAAATATAGTTGCTAAACCACAAAAATAACTAAAACATATGATTCTTTGTGTGTATTTTCTTTTAAATATTATTATGATACTATTTTCAATAAGTATTAACAACAAAGAGACTTTATATTTTCTTTTCCTATTGCATGCATAAAGTATACACTTGCATAAAATTTATTATTACAGAATATATTTACAAATTTTCTTTTGTTATTACCCATATGACCATATTTCTCTATATTGCTATTTTTGTTAAACTTTCCAAATTTTCTGATACAACAACACATGTACGATTTTTTGTATGTTAATTCTTTTCACGGTTTTGATTCTCACTAAAAAAGGAAAGAATAACCAAAAGTAATCATAATAAACAAATGTACGACCATGTTAGCTGTAAGTTTTTTGCATTTTCCATTGCAATGATACAATTTTTTACTAACCATTTTTCAAAGATGTAACTTATCTTCCTAGCACTATTAACATGCCACTTTTTGATTACAACTATTACGTCCATTAATTTTATTTCTCATACCAAAATAGGTTTTCAAGAGAATCGTCATCTTTGTGTGGTTTTAATAGAAGAAACCTTGAGAGTATTTCATGTTTTTTTTTTTTAGCTTCAAAACGATAAAATCTTATTTATACATGAAAACTTTAACCATGTAAGCTTTTTAAGAAGAAAATCTTTTAAGACTTCCGGGTATTAGATCTATGTACTTATATAAACATTAACCGTTTTAATGAGCCTAATCCTTTAAGACTTTCAAGATATTTGATTTTTTTTATGTTAAAATTTAAAAATGATTGATATATAGATATCGATATGAAAATGGGGTTACGTGGCTTCTTCAAGTCGGATAGATCACATAGATGGCACCAATTATGATTATTATAATATTCATAACACTTTATAACTATAATATTTATATTTATTTTAAGGTTATAAAACAATAATCAAATATACTATATATACAAAAAGATAAAGGAAAAAAAATAAGTGAAGGCAAGTAGGCAATTTAGCTTCCCAATAACTTTGGCCCTTTTAATTTTCCCGGCGACACTAACTCCCACTGCCACCGCCGAGTCACAGAAAGATGACAAGAGTACCACCGTCTCCACGGAAACGGAAACCCATACACATACTCTCCTCCTTCCTTTTCCTTTTCATCACTGCAGTCGAGTTTTCCTGTGCAAGTTCACAGCACTTCTTGACGTCCGAGCAAACCACTCTGCTTAACCTGAAGCAACAATGGGGGAATCCGCCGTCACTGAGGAACTGGAACGCCTCTTCACCGCCATGCAACTGGACAGGAGTTCACTGCAACGATAACGGCTCTGTTGAGTGGTTTGAACTCATGAGCAAGGGATTAACTGGACATATACCGCCGTTCATCTGTGACCTACCTAACCTGAGAAATTTGTTTCTCAGTGATAATTTCCTCACCGGAGAGTTCCCTACGGTTTTTTATAATTGTTCGAAGCTAGTTGAAATTGATATCGCACACAACGGTTTTTTTGGAAGGTTTCCGGATGATATTGACCGATTATCAGGACTCATGTGGATTGATGTCGGAGGTAATAACTTCACCGGCGATATACCTCCAGCCATCGGCAATTTGTCTGCGTTAATGTATTTGTCGTTGGATAATAACTTGTTCACTGGTTCAATCCCGTCGGAGATTGGAAATTTATCTAATCTGGAAACGTTATATTTGAGTTCCAACAATTTGGAAGGTGAAATCCCTTCTGGGTTGCTTCTGTTGAAGAAATTGGATAGTTTGACCTTGTACAAGAACAATTTATCTGGAAGAATTCCGTCGGTGATTCAGTCTTTAGATTTAATTGAAATCGATCTCTCCATGAACAAATTGAACGGCTCAATTCCTAAAGATTTTGGCAAATTGCAGCAGCTGGAGGTGTTAAATTTGTTTTCAAATCATTTATCCGGCAACATTCCAACAAGTATTTCACAAATTCCGACACTGAAGAATTTCAGAGTCTTCAAAAACAATCTCGATGGCGAATTACCTCAGGAAATCGGGTTTCACTCGAAGCTGGAAACATTCGAAGTGTTCGAGAACAAACTAACCGGAAAGTTGCCTGAGAATTTGTGCGGTGGTGGTACTTTGCTCGTGGTGGCTGCTTTCTCCAACAATCTCACCGGAGAAATCCCGAGATCACTCCAGAGTTGTCACAGCCTTGATACAATCCTACTCCATGATAACAGTTTCACAGGTGAAATTCCTCCAGGAATTTGGACATTATCCAATCTTTCGAGCTTGATGGTTACAGGAAACTTTCTTTCTGGTGAACTACCGAGTACAGTATCATGGAATTTATCAAGATTGGAGATCAGTGACAACAAGTTCTCCGGCCAAATTCCTGACAGCATTTCATCTTGGACAGAACTGAGTGTGTTCAAGGCTAGTAACAACTTGTTATCAGGTGAAATCCCGACATCATTCACTTCTCTTTCACAGTTGTCTGTACTTCATCTTGATAGGAATTCACTTTCCGGCGAACTTCCATCGGAGATCAAGTCCTGGAGTTCACTAACCACTTTGCATCTAGCGAGAAACAAACTTTCTGGCCCGATTCCACAAGCCATCAGTTATTTGAAAGGTCTTCTTGACCTTGATTTATCAGAAAACCAATTTTCCGGTGAAATTCCCCCACAAATGAGCCGTTTGAGGCTGAGCACTTTAAATCTTTCTTCCAACAAACTCACCGGAAGAATCCCATTTGCATTCGATAACCTCGCTTACGAAAATAGTTTCTTAAACAATCCCGATCTATGTGCTAGTGCTTCATCCCCAATCTCAAATCTCCATAACTGTTACACCAAATCCCCACACTCCCAGAAATCTTCCCCCAAAATCATCGCCATGATTGTCGTCTTGTCAGCATTCATCATACTTGTCGCCATTCTGTGCACCATGATCGTCTATAGACTATACCTCCAGAAGAAACATAAACACATTGTGGATCTCACAGCATGGAAACTTGTTGAAAAGTGATCGATTCGAAGTTAAGTGATGAAATAAAGATGGTGTTTAATTAGGGCTTTTATGTTATTAATGCTTGTACTAGGTAAAATAGGTTGTGATCAGGTTTATTTAATATATTAATAGTATTATAATTATAATTATAATATGACATAATGCTTTTATTTAATATTGTGAATCTAAAGGTGGAATGTTGAGAGATTGCAGTTTATATGTTATAACTTCGCTTTAGGTAGTTATGGACTTATGGCTCATCACATTTCTTGGTGATAATCTCAGTTTGTATAAGTGGGTTTCTTCAATAAATCCATTAGTACATATATGCTCTTAAAATTTTTGAATAAAATTTGCAAAGATTTACGTATAAATGTTGTTTAACTAGAGAGAGATGTATTACGAGATTATATTATATTCAAGACTCAAGAGCATTCATGAGCGTTCATTTGAAAATCAAACAACTCATGGCCATGCTTTTTAGCAAGCTTGATAAGGTCTTGTCGTTCTAAGGTCATGTTTTTTTGTTTTTCTTATGAGCGTTGTGCCTAAATGATGTTACAATTAGGGATGAGCAGTTTGTCCCAAATCTCGATCCCGTACCGGAACCGGTACCGAACTGTACCGAATTTAAAAATATGGGACGGTACTCGGTACTCCAAATACATGAAATTCGGGATTCGGTACCACCGGTACCGGTTTTCGGGATTGACTTTCGATAACCGGTACCATTCCCGGTTTCGGTACTCCAAATACATGAAATTCACGAAAACCGGTACCGGTACCGGTGATGTTAATTCGGTTCGGTACTCGGGATTGACTTTCGATAAAATTCGGTTTTCGGGAAATCGGGAACGGTACGGGTCGGTACCGGTTCCGTCTCATGCTCATCCCTAGTTACAACTGTGTTTTGGATGTAGAAGTATAATGAAACGTATTATTAAGTTAATTTAATATGTTTTGTTTTCAAAGAATGGCTTTTTAGTCATTAAATCTGATTAGTTTGATAAATTTACCATTATATCCCTCAAATCACAAATATCTAACAAAGAACTTGCAAAATTATGTATCTAACAAAATTTCATAGATTTAAAATGCTATTATATAATATAAATGTTAGTTTGCAAGATATAGCACCTAGATTCTCTTTTTCCAAACCAAAGCGACTTATTTTATTGTTAGGGATAATGACTTAAAAGGGTAATATATTTTTCGATTTATACACATTTGGTCGCTGAGTTTTTTTTCGTTCACGTTTACCCCTTCAACTTGTTAAACTGTACACATTCCGTCCTTATGACCGGTTACTCCAGGTTAGCCGAGAAAATGACTTAATAAGGTAATATATTTCTCATTTTGTACACATTTAGTCCTTAATATTTTTGTACACATTTAGTCCTTAATATTTTTTTGTTTCAAAATAAGTCATTTTTGTTTTTGTACTCATTCAATACTTATAAATGAGTTCCTTAGATTTTTCTCACATCTTACGTGGGACAATCGTTGATGAAGTGTGTGGGGTTGTTGATGTTTATGTGTAACGTCTCATTTTCACAACCAAAATTTTTCATTTTTAAATAAGGCAAAAATCCCTAATTATAAATCCATTATTAAGAAAAAAACGTTTATTCCAAAATACATTTATAGAAAATCAGAGTAATATAAGAAACGCAGAATCCTCAATACTGTTGATGAGTGTAATATTGTTGATGAGTGTGTAGAGTCATACATTCGCCTTCCCACGATCAACAATAAAACATGAAAACATTAACAACTGGGTAAGCACAAAGTTTAGTGAGTTCCCCCCAAAATACCTGATACAACAAACGTATTATCATGCATAACTGGCGCACGCTCATCTGATTGGAATACCTTGGACCAATCAGTCATCAGACTGGAATGCCAATATACAACAAGTCCAATCAGTCATCGGACTGGAATGGTTAGGGTTTGTCGGCATGCTGCCTTAACCCAACCGCTTTTCTCGAGCCTCCATGCCTACGACTTACAGCCGACCCGCACCAGGTATCTTGACCTACAACATATAGCACGACCACCTCAACCTATCCTACCACCATATGGTTATCCCGTGTAAGATGTCGTTACAAAAATCTAAAGAAATCATTCATACGTACTGAATGAGTACAAAAACAAAAATGACTTATTTTGCAACAAAAAAATAATAAGGACTAAATGTGTACAAAAATATTAAGGAGTAAATGTGTACAAAGTGAAAAATATATTACCCTATTAAGTCATTTTTACCGGCTAACCTGGAGTAGCCGGTCATAAGGACTAAATGTGTACAGTTTAACAAGTTGAATGGGTAAATGTGGACGAAAAAAAAGTCAGTGATTAAATGTGTACAAATCAAAAAATATATTACCCTTTTAAGTCATTATCCCTTATTGTTAATATATTTCTTAAAATTGACGATTTTAACACTTTAATTTGGATTTTTGTTCTTTAAGAGACAAAATAATATAATATATATATATATATATATATATATATATATATATATATATATATATATATATATATATATATATATATATTCAACCATAATAATAAACGAATAGAGATCAAAATGATCAACTTACCATAAATTGGACAAATATGTTTCTGATTAAAAAGGATAATGATGGAAAGAAGTTAAATATAACCAAATTACCTAGATTTGGTGCATCAAATTAATTATAAATAACATTTTCCATCCCGTAATCCATAATCAACTTAAATGCATAACCTACCAACTAATAATTCATATCTTTTGAACCTTTTAGATTATTTGCATATCATTTACTATAGAAATACTACATATATACCATTTACATAGATTATTTTCATAACCTACCCATCCTTCTCACTTCTGTGATTCATCTTCTTCATGTTCTTCTTCCTGGTTCTATTCCATCTTTTAATCACATGATTAGATTTTTGTTTGAGTTATTGTTTTCATTATTGGAGTTTTATTAGTATTTACAACATAATCTCTGGTAAAATTTTGATTTTTTATTTAGTAAAAGACAAGTAACAGATGAATAATTACTGTAAAATTACCTTTTCTATAATAGCATCCTATTTTTCTGTTATAATGTATTAGTATTCGGTTGATTACGATTGTAAAATTGATGTTTTTTTTGTTCAGAACTAAGAAAGAATCAGAAAACCTCAAAGTATTCTTTCAGGTTTTTACCATTTTACCCTCCATTTAGCTAAAACCAAACAGTTCCTTCATGATGCAAGTTCATGGTTTTTGTTATGATCCAAAACAGTGTTGTATAACTATCAATCTTTTGCTTTATAACCGTAAAGTACAAATGTAATTCAAATTGACTAATAAAGAAGTAATTTTTATACATTATCAACTGAGAAAATATTAAAATAATTAAACAGATGGTGAAAATAATGGTTTAAACGTAGTTCATCTTACGTCTTACAGAATCCAATGTATATGACTTCGAACGATGGAATAACCAAATCAAAAGCATCCTCATGCACACCACTGTCGGACATCACAAATGGTAAACTTCTAATTTAACTATTATCATTATATAATTCTATCATATTAATTTGATTTATATATTGGGATAATGTCATAAAAACCCTTAAGTTTTTCAGGAATTTGCGGTTTTACCATTTGATAGAATTTTGGTTCGTTTATACCGCAAACTTGCAATTTTTTTTCGGTTTTACCCTTTTAACAGGTTCGGCCGGTCACCTGCATAGGTGGCGAGGCACGTGCGCGCTGAATGGGCTGCTCTCGGTGACATGTCAGCCACAATAGCGCTGACTGTGCTTTATTCATTTAATACAAAAATTGGAAGATTTTAGGGAGAATAGAGTGGGGGGGGGGGGGGGGGGGGGGGGGGATTCAAACCCACCACCTCCAAATCAGAAACCAAAGCAAGTACCACTAAGCTGGAAAGCTTTTTATGTTTCTAAACCTGAAAACATTATATATAATGTATATTAACAAAAAATCTATATACAATTATTATTATTATTACATAATTAAATATTACATTTATCGAACCACAATAGTAATTATTATTATTATTATTATTATTATTTTCTTTTTTTATAAGTTTATATTACTTTTAATTACATTTTTAAAGGTATAATTATATTTATAAAGATGATGACTTTGAAAAGCAGTTACTCGAAAATGTGCAGGATTACCTTCAAAGTCATCATCTCATAACGTCATACACCTGAATGTGCAACCTACAACAATTTCATCAAGGTCATCACTTTCACAAATAAAAAATAAGGGTAAATTTTTAATAATTACTTTTATATTATTTTCACCCTGCCATTGAAAATCATATAATGACTATTATAATTTCCAAATTTTTTAATTGTTATGGTAACTAAGTAACAGTTGTAAACGGTGCTAGATAGTTTCATTTTATTTACTTCTTTTTATAGTTTATTTTAGCATATTTCATTCACATTTTAGTTAATTTCCATGCATATTTTCCTTTTTGTTATTTTATGACCACCTTCGGGTACTTTCTAGTTTCATGAGTATAATTGCATAATTTAAGGAGACTATCGGAGCGGGATCTTTGGGAAGCAATTAGACTTGGAGGACGACGAGGATTTTGGGCTTGATGGTTATGGAGGTGATGCATGGAGTTGGCTTGTCAATTACTTGAAGGCTTGGAAGAATTGAACTTTAAATTTACAAGATGCGGGAGAATTTTTTAGTGTGCGGAGATTGATGATCGGGCGATTGCGGAAGCTATGGATCGTTTAGAAAAGGCTAATTGGGCTCAAACTGAAGAAATCTTGAAGAAAAATGGGCTAGAAACTGATCGGGCTCAAACTGGGCCAATGGTTAAGCTGTGGAGGCCCAACACTTGAAGAAGGCCAAAACCCCGCCACTCTTACGCGACCCGCGTGGGTTCCTGCTGGGGCATTTTTGGAATTTTACTTGAAGATCTATATTGGGAAGGTTGGTGTGCCACTTTAGCATTCTCTTGGACATCCGAAATTTGAACAATCCTCTG